GGATAGTGCAGAAAGAAAGTGATTCTTGTCCTCTACACAGTTTGAGCACTAGTAGAACTTCCTTTCCTCGGGTCACTGTTCTGTAATTAAATGGGTCGACCAGCACTACCGTCACCGTCACAACAAAGCTTGTGATTGATTGAGACAACAAAAACAAAGAATTGTAGGACATGTCAGACAATGCCTATTGTTCTACTGAATTATGTCAGACAATGCCAATTGTTCTCTACTTGTCATCTTCGTTTTTGGTAGAGTCATTTTCACATCGGTCTGTACTAAAACAATTACTACKGCCAGTCAGTGTTTAATAGTGTCTAATAGTTGTATTCCAATATAAGAAAGCAATGATTAGTGTTTTTTTCCCAAGGAAACAACCAATGCAGGAAACTTAACTACTGCCACTTGGATTCTTATTCGAATTTTTGAATTTCAGAAAGATAAAAAACTTTTTTAAAAAACCCATTTAAAAAAATCAGTGCACAAGCAAGTGTCCAATAATAAGCAGGGGATTCAACAACCTTCAACGCTTCGGTCGTGTTCTTCATGTTTTTGTAAAAATGGTATCTCCGCCAGAAAAATTCCCTCTCGCTTGGGCCAAGACCGCTAAAAGTTGCATGTAAACAGGATCGGTCAAGTAACAGTCAAAATATTAGATATCCGGCTTATGATACACGGCCGCATGCGGGAAAACTGACTTTTACACCGGAAAACGAAAATAAAACTGCGAGTTAAACATGCTCCCCRCCCGCGTTCAGTCGACGTTGCWGTAAAGGAATCGCCTAGCCGGCAGCAGGCCTATGTGTAAGTGTATGTAAAATGTGTGTGTATAATATAGCACTTCGACTTGAGAGCGCGTCGAGCTGCGTCTTTCGCAATTCAGCACCCATGCTGCCATGAAGGACTATAGCACCCAACAACACACACCTATAGCAAGACAGAATTTAATTTTGATCATTTCGCTGACTCCTTTCTGATACTAATAAATTAAAGTTGATATAGACAAAAACGCGTGCTMTTACTYAGCGATATGATGGACAGGAACTAGAAGGAAACCCACACACGTTTTCAAAGTAAAACCAGTAAAACATCAAACGACAAAAAATATGTGGATTGAAAGATAAGTGATAACAATTATGATAAAGAATTTATTTTTGAAAAAGTAAAGAAAGAAAGAAAGAAAAAAAAAAAGAAAATGAATAATTTTGTATCTTATGCCTTGGATTCGAACCCCGTCGTTCTCCAGTCCTTTGCTTCATGAAAATCAACGCCTTAACGAGTCGCACCACAGACCACGCTCATTTACATAATAATAGACCACTTGACACTTTCGCCGAATAGACTACCCCAATTTGACTTTATACTTTCGATAGTTGCCTRGTTWGTGCAAGGGGTTATCCATCAGTGTCTAGGGGCCGGATAGCTTCTCCCTCACTGGCTTTTTAGTTAGCGCGAAGTTAGGACCAATTAACGGGATAGCATGGAAGAGCCGAAATCTCTAACCGGAATGTAAACCGATTCGACGCCTCAGCTTCACAGAATGTCTCGGGGGAATCGTCCCAAASTTTTTCGATCTTGATGGCATGGGTTCGAGTCCCAGGACGTTTGCGTTTATTCTTATTCGTCCTTCTTCTTTCTTTTGATTCTTTGTATTTATTGATTTATTGATTTATTTTTTTGTTTAATTATTTTTTGTTTATTTTTTTTTTAGAATCAAAAGAAGTTAAATATCTTATACACGGATATAGCTGATTTGCACAAAGTGATCTTCACGTGACCGAGGGAAACTGGGATGCAAATTTTCTTATTTTGGCTCAGTTTCAATAAAAAAACTGAAACAAACTTAAGCCTACGTTATAGACGTGTGTTATACGGAACGTGACGTCATTTATCATGTGACTGCCCTGTGATRCAGATCGAGTAAGCGCTCAAAGAGAGTCTTCATATTCGATTAATTTTTTTTAAATCTTTCATCAATCATACAAAAAAACCCTTCTAACAATCATCACCAGGAGCCCAATCCCGACATGCTTCTGGTGCGGTTTTATACTATAAGCATGATTTAAAAGACCAAAAATGCTTTCTTGGGGGAGGGGGAGGTCTATTATCTTTGTCCTCGKTAGTCGTTTGTTTCAAACGAGAAAATCGACTGCATATGAACGGATAATTTTTTTCCTCATTTTCACGCCTCATCATGTTAAGTTTTTGTAACGTAAAAAAGTACGTGAAACAACGTTGATATTTTTTTATCATTTTACAGTACAACTATCTTTTTAGAAACACCGACGCAGCTCACACTAGTTTACCTCTAGTTTCCGCCGATGTTTTTTCTTTTCTTTTTACGGGTCACGGCTAACCCCATCTTCATATAATTATGCCCCACAACATAATATTGTCATGGCAACAAACACCGCGGCGGATTATCTATTTATAAATTTTCAATTTTTTTCGCTTGACATTTTAATCCCTTACTATTTCAGTGAAAGTCTTTGTGGGTTTAAAACTCATTTGAGCATTAGTGTCGGTGCCAAAAATAAACARGTTTAATCCTTTGCTTCTTGATGCGATCGGATCTTCAAAAAAGCATGACGAGATAAACGTCAATCATGTTGATAAGTCGAGTATTGTTGATACAGTTAAGTAAATGTCTGCCTTTCAGCGACAATAAGTGGCTAAACTTCGACAGCTTGACGACTTTACATCCTCTTCTGTATATTTTGTCATGTAAATTTGTGTTTGAGCGCCGTTTCTTAGCGAGAACTGTTTAGTGTCAACAAAGTATTCTTTTTGATCGTTTCCGAGTAGAATCTTAACAGTCTTAACAAATTGCAGTTTTCAAGGCTGTCTTGTTTGGTCATTTTTTGGCGCTACACAGCCGGGGAAACTATAAATAAGTCTTGAAGCTGAAATCTCGAGTGTTTAAAGTGCTGAGATTGAACTTCACGTCAGGAAACTGCAGAAGGAGAAAAACTGCGTAATAGAAACAAGACCAAAACAGAGCAGTATTTCTCAACGGATCTTTTCCTGTTGTGCCTACAGTGAAAATGTCAACAAAATACCCTYCTTTAGGGACCTCGAGTATTCGTCAAGTTGTTTTAGCAAGACACGTTGCTCAAAGGTTTAAACTAATCTCGACCAATTTGGTAATCCAAAGACGACGCAACGCAGACAAAGGCGATTACCAGATCACTCACGTCGACGAACCTGAAGTCAACGAAAGACAACCACCGAGACCCTTTTTTACAGAGACTAGCCATTCACCAAGACGATCGACGGTCTCTGGTCTTTCTTTCCTAAAAACMCCGCCACAAAACAGTTACAGACTTGAGCCCACGGAACGATTCGAGACGCCAAAAGTTCAGCGGATCATCGCAGAAGCGCTAGAGAAYGAGCTWAAGGGAATTAGCTACAGCCCTGAAATCTGCTCACAAAAGACTAAACTTTTGWGTGATGTGATAAAAGCGAAAGTCAAGAGCTTAAATTTCTCAAGGTATAAATACATAGTGGTTGTGTTTATCGGGCAAAAGAGTGGGCAGTGCGCACGCGTGGCTAGTCGTTGTGTCTGGGATACTAGRTATGATAAYTATGCACAGCACGTATATGAAGGGCCGACTGATGTCTTTGCTATTGGGACTGTATATGGATTATACCACGAATAATAATGCAATGGACAAATACTAACACTAGAGTTTCTCAATATTTCCTAATTTGAACCACTTGGAATGGGGAATAATCACAACCATTTCCATGACATTTCTAACCCTGTGCAGCGGAGGATGTCTGTCTGTCATACCATTAATCGTGAATTGCGCAATTATGTGAAACTAGTTTCTAATCTGCAGACTTCTGAACCTAGTACGTCACTACTTGATTTGCAATGGATTGTGGTATCGTTATCGTTTAAGGATCCGCCATGTTTTGTCCCAAACATATCCTATAATGCATTGCGATGCGCTATGTGACGTAAAAGCTTCAAAGATCTATTGGCTCCTKATGAAGCGAAGTCGTTCTCGTGATGAAGAGAAGGAGTGGTTTCTCTGAGACTTCACTCTTATTACCTTTTTTGCTGCCATATTAGCACACATCCAATCCTATAGAAGAGAGGATATATAGAGGATATTACATGGGCGCGCGGAGCCACATAAGGATTTTATCTTCGAGTGTTGAAAAGATCTCTCATGAGTGAGCGTAGCGATTTTCAATACGAGAAGATAAAATTCGTATTACCAAGCGACCATCTTATATTCTGTTTATCATATAATTACATATAAAAGCAAGATGTGTCGTAAAATGCCTTTTTTTCTTACTTCCACTATATAGAGAAACCTSGAATGTTATTTTCATTAGTRACTATCAACTTTACGCAATGGAGAAATATAGGTATTTCATAGATAATTATATGATAAGATGTTTTCTCATGCATTACGTACGGACGTGCGTGATTCTTAGAAAGAAACCAGAATGTATTAATACATTTGTGAAAAGATAACTTCATGTAACACCATGAAAAAAGTATAGGTCAAACAACTTACTGTCGTTTCTTTTTTACACAACTGGGCGAAACAATAGGAGAGCTTTTATTGTACATGACCATTCAAACGAATACAACGAAACCACCTTTTAAAGGAGCAAACATCTGGAGCCATATCAATCGATAAGTTTTCTTGAAATAATATATGTATCAGTCAATAGTGCTGCTAAAAAGTGTTAAATCCCAGAATGCAATGTGGAAATTTCCCAGCTCTCCTCAAGGGTTGGGGTCCAACTCATTAGTCTTAGAAGCCACGATTCTTTAATGGCACATTTATTATCGCTTAAACGCGAGGTCAGAGCAAATATTTGGTTAGATGTAGCATTCAAACAAACGTCTTTGGGATTCCTGTGTACTTGAAGCAAGGGCGCCAGGACAACCATAACAGTTTTTGAATGATATTACGATTCTATTTGTTATAGCTTTGAGTATCGTAGAAATTCGCTTATCTGACTTCTTGTGTATATCTTGAGTGTATCGCGAATTCCCTTGGATAGATAGATAGATTTTTGGCGATTGGTGGGCAATTTTCTACACTCCTAAAGGTCAAAAGCTAACTCCCGGGCTAACTAAAAGCTCTACGTGTTTATTTCACTAAAATAATTCCTTAACTGTATTAACGATATTACTGAGTGACGTAGATTACATATGAATCGCGCGGTTACATAAGCSGACGGTACGTCCCAGTACGTAATAAACGGCCGTTAAATAACGTGGCGTACTGAAATAAACACGTACAAAGAAGCGTTTTTTTTTCATTCTTTTCTGTAAATGCTTGTCAAGTGCGCATCTGAATCTCAAAGTCATCGAGTCAATTTTAGGCTTCACAAAATAAATAGAACTCGACAGGATTGTAAGAGTTTGGGAGGGTAGTGTGTGACAGGAATCCTGTACAATCAGCTCGTTCAATGGGAAGAGGTCACAAATGGTGCCTTGATGAGTGAAGTAACCTATTAAAGTATCATGTTCCAATCACCAAGCAACTTCTCTGTTGACGATTTCATTCCAACACTCTGCACTCCTTATAATCATTTATAATCATATCTTAAAGACTACCAACGTAAACCAGGTATTCATAATTTAAYCATTTAACAATGTCGGAGCAGGAGAACCCGAGGGAACGCTTTGCTAGACGACGAACATCGTCAGTTACAAGTCGCTCGGATGAAAGCGTTAAAAGAGTTAGCATGGCAGGCCCATCCATGTCTCGGCGACTCTCTGGTGCTTCGTACAGTTTACATTCATCTACTRCTYTAAAGAACAGAACTCATGGTGTCGCAGTCGAGGACGCATCTTTCCCAGATCCCCGCAAGAGAGGATTAAAATACGAGAATACTTATCGTATGGAGCCGAAGATGGTTTTCCCTGAAATAAAAGTACGTAAAATTGTCAAGGACGCTCTTAATACACTTGAAAACCAMAAGTACGACCCAAGGTTCTCCAGCACTCAGTCCAAGCTTTTAAGTCAAAGGATCCTGGACGAAGTACGTCTGTTAAACATTGAAAGGTACAAGCTTGTTTGTCTTGTTAGTRTTGGGTCTAAAGCAAGACAGGGACTACGAATGGCTAGTCGTTGTTTATGGAACACTGAACATGATACTGTAGTATCTGAAACTTTGGAAAAAAACGCTTTTTTCGCTGTCGCTAGTTTGTATGCTTTCTATTTTGAATGATTTAAGATGATTTGTTTATTTGATTGCTTGAAATTTAGGTACCTTAAGATCATATTTTTCTCGAGTCGTGTGTGTAGTTTTAGTAAGCTGCTTCATTATAAGTTTGACGTGAGTGCAAACTGYGCACTCTACCCTTTCTCTGCATTTTCCTCTTCGGGCTTCCTGTGTTTAAAAAATACCTTAKTCGTACTAATTTTCGCGAGGCTTTAATTTCGCGATTTAAAAAAATCGCGAAATTAAAACCTCGCGAAAAAAAGGGTGCGCGAAAATTATACACGCCAATTTTGATACACTTCTCATGATAATTGCCTATAATCATTTCACTTCTTTATATGAAAATCTTTCTTTGTAAATCGATTATTAAGTAATCATTCAATAAAAAAGGATTTTTAAGTCTCTTTGTCCTTTGATTGAAAGGCAAAATAAAGGCAAAATCTGAGAAAAACTCGAAACGTATCCTGAAAATAGGTAAAAAAATCATAATAGACCTCATTAGTATTGCGAAAAAAGAAAGCTAGAATACTGAAAATTCATGAAAAGATCGGATTTTTCGAGCAATTGTGAGTTGATTTTAACGAGAAAGCACAAACATACCTTACGGCAGTCTTGAAAAATACATTTTAATCACATCAGAAATATGARTGACACTCATGGTTTTCAATTCCAAGGAACAATCCTTTGTTTGACAACATCAAATATTGCAAAAATGCAAAAAGGAATTGACTTTTTCAATCTTAAAACTGTCAATATTTCAAAAGTGAAGTTGAGCTTGACTATGAGAGAGGTGACGCGCGCGT